AAAAAACGAGTGTGCTGTCACATAATGTATAATTATGGAAAATGAGAAAACTGTATTTATTATCTAAGTGTATTCGAAACAAAACGAATCGTTCTTTATATTTTTTTATTAAGCAATTCAGATATCAATAACGTTAACACAGTAAAAGGTACGTTAAAATTCCAATACAAATGAAAAATAAATATGGATTGATCGTTTTATTAACATTTAAAGTAATACATATCCACCTACAAATACATTTCGTGTACTATAATAAATCAACATAACTACTTTATAATGCAAATCAGCTTACCTTACATATTACGATCAAGATCTTTATAAAATTTCACTTTCAATACACGTAGCAAAGATTGTCTTTTTGTATTGGCATACCATACATTTTACAAGACGTTTCTCTCATTAAGATATTCTGCATATCGGATTGTTTCAGCAAGATACTCGACCAGGATTTTTCGTGACAATGAAGGCCCTTAAATTTCCCTTTCACCACGATCTTTTATTTCAGACTCTAATTTCGAAAATAGTAACGCTTATCATAAAAAGAAGATATGATCATGTTGATTTTTTACATATTATATTGAATTATTTAACCAATCATTATGAAAAACAATCCTTCATTTTTGTGATAGATTGGGATACGTTGTGTTGGGCGAGATCCGTTATTCTTTCCTCACAAGGTTAATTTAATAAGGTGCAAGAAGTAAAAATGACCACTCATATTTTGAGAAAATTAAATGTCATTTGTTTAGAAACGAACGTTTAAACTTTCCCACTTATTAAATATGGATGTGTCTTTACCACTGTCCTTTTTTCGAAGTCAACATTTCGGTTGAAACACTTGTTGTTGTGTTAAAAGAAGCATATATGTCTTTTGCACTTTATTTTACTTTGAGCCAAATTAATATACTGCATATTGTTTGATGGTATTCCAGTGCAGTAATGATAACACACGTTTTGTTGTTTATACATATATGTGTGTCCTGAGCTGCAGGTGGATTCGCTGGATATTCATCATTGCTGAAACTTTATTTATTAAAAACAAAAACCCAATACGCTAAAACAATCTTTCCTTGAAGTTGCAAAACTCTAATCTACTGAAATATTGAGTTCATTCATAACACTTCAATTTCCTCTGATGTTTTTTTCGATTAAAATATGTTTCCGTTTTTTTATATGTTCTGATCAGGTACACTGTTTTCATCTTTAACCATTTCCATGAACAATTACTAAGTTTTAATATGTTTTTATAAGAATGCGAAAATGACATGCAATACAAAAGTGTGATTGTGATACAAATAGTTCAGTATATGTTGTATTTAAATGTTAGATGTCTCAAACATAAACAAAAATAACAAACCATACATAAGAATCTTTTTTGTTGAGACTGAAACTAATAAATGATCCACAAGAAATAAATTCCGTGTACTTGTTATTATATAGATCCTCTAACTACAAGTCGATTCATTGGATATTAGTCGTTCCGCTGACTTTACCTTTTGAAAGTATTACAGTAAATATACTTTCTTTCAAGTTTTAACACACATGTCCACTTATATATTTACTTCTAGTATAATATTTTAATGAATCTAATCAGCTTAATGGATAAATAACACACTATCGTTGCATCCTTATCGATCATGGCGTTTTCTTTAAAGGTGTTCACTTTCAATAGGGTAAATAAATAAACGACAGAATGCAGAAGTAAGGTTGCATGCATATATTTCCATATTTTTATCTTTATCAAGTTTTGATACGACAATGTAAAGTAGTTGTAAAGTCATCATAGACAGGATTGCATGACGCTATAAGGTAATATGAAATATGTTTTCTAATATGACGTACAAAAGCTGATTGATGATAGTGCATGCAGTAAATAAAATGTTCATGTACAATAAATGTACATGTATATTCCCAATATATAATATTAAATATATATCATAACTAATTTCTTTATTCTAAATTCATAGATATAGCTTCTGGTATATATAATACGGGCTTTAAGTACAATTAAAACTTATCTAAATGAAAATAGTATATGATTAAAAAAAATCCATTACATATCCTTCTTTTGATTTTATTATCACTGATGATAATTAAATTGAACATTTTACTAATGGTGATTCGTTTTCTTAACACTGAGGAAATTTTCAAAAAAGCGTTTTACTATTTCGTATTTCTGGTGACAGTTTTTACCTAATAATTGTTTAGATAAAATGTGAGTCTAAATGACCAACAATAATTTAAATCTCCTTTCGAAAGAAATAATTAACAAACATGTCGTTACTTACAATCAATGGATGATTATTGTGTTATTAATCTGTCAAATTGTGATGTTAAGTTATTTATACTAAATCACATTTCTTTGTAGAAATTTCCGTTGTTGCATCTTCACCTCTGGAAAACCTACTATTTACCAGTTGTATCGTTTACGTACAAGTGGTTTGACACGTGTCAGTTATTAAACTACTATGTTGACGAAGTTGAAACTATATGAGAATAAAATCATTCCTACCAAATCTTTAAACTTGAAATAACATTAATAAATGAATATAAAGGTACTTGTAAGTTCTATTTTAAATATTTAACAAGAAAATGAGAGGAAGTTAAATGATTAAAATATATTCTACATGGTGTATTCTTATTGACTTCTGTTCTAAGGAAGTAACTATCATCCTGAATCACAAGAGGTACCAGTCGTTTAATGTATAAAAACAGTTATGTAGAATGACAGGTGCCTCCTTTGGAGCAAAACACTATCACATTTTCTGTCAGATGTTTTGTCTTTGCTTTTAAATTTTTATTGTACTCTTCATGTCATTCCTTTTGTTTGACATTTTTTTTCTGTGTACCTGTTGTTGTCTTTACCTATACATTTCAAGTTGTAATTTGTTTCAGTCTGTTACAAACGTATAGCTCAAAATAATCCCTGACGACAGAGTTATAATTATCGTTGTTGTATGAAAATGTTAATTCTTTAAAAAAGAAATGCTGATTCATTCCGAGGAATGTGTTATTGTGTTCTTATAAGGCAATTTTGTACAATATTTCATTCAGAAAATCAATCGAAACAGATTGTCAGCAAAATAATTGATATGGTGGAATCGTTATTGTGGAAAGATTATATTTACGAATAAACAAACTGTATAAGAAATAGATATCTTTATAATTTCTTAAATACTGTATCTTTAATGAAACTATTTGGTTATATGATGTATTAAAAAGGGGGAGAATTCGTTAGAGTGAACTGTTTCTCCTCTGGAAAGAGTAAGTCCTATAAAAGTTCTGTTCTGAAACAGATTGCCTCTTCTTTTAATAAATTGCATGAGATGCATAACATCCCTTCATTTTTAACACAGCTATATTTCTGATATACTTACTTTATTGATAGTATGAAGAGTAAATCTATCTTTAACAGTTAAAAAAGAACCGTAATTAATATTTACAGAAAACTTCAGTTTGTGTTAAAATATATGGAAGCAAAATGTTTTACTATATCAAAACGAACAACACATATGCATTGAGTTGCTGAGACGAGGTAAGCATAATCGTAGTACCTATGAAAATATACTGCATGTAATAGGTGTTCAATCGCAATTAGTATAGCATACCAAATATGATTTTAAAATGATGCAAAGTATTTTTTTTACACAGTTCTTCGTAGAATTAATTTTTAGATAGATAAAAAAAAATCGCTTTGAATTTTTCTCTTGTGCAAAGTTATCAAAACATATATGATACTTTCTTATTCGTATTTACTAACTATACAAAAATCTTAAATTGGTCGCTAATCGTTGGAGATGGTTATTTGAACAACTACTATTTCATTAAATGATATAACAATGTAGCACGAAAGGAGTCAAGCATTCAAACATATGTTAAAAAAGAGATGGTAAAAAGATAAAATGAAATATTACGTTTATGTAGAGTTGAGTTCAATTAATGATTAATCTGTGTGATATTTCAATTTCAATGATTAATTGACAGAAATCAGTCAATCAATGGGTTATCAGGCAAGGACAGTATACACCATGTTCTAAATTTAGAAATATATGATATCTTTGAATAAATAAGGATCAGTTCATTTTATTTGTAACGAAACGATTAAATATACGTTTCTGGCTAATTAATATTCAATTATATGTAACAATATAAGTTTCCAATTCAGTAAATATTTACATAAAAATAATCGATTTGAAAAAATAGAAGCATTTTGATTGATGATATGATTAAAGATAACTTATTATACTGAATAAAACTAATTGTCTTCTATGTATATATATAGAATGAATAGTTGTATGATATTAACGGATCGAGACTGTTTTTCTTATAATGAACTCGAGAATCGATTATATAAAGTATGCGTGCATGAATATTGATTTATTTCGGAAAATATGTCCATCGATATTTGTTGTTTTTTCCCCCCTACTTATATCATCAAAAGAATAAAGGAATATTTAATGATATAATATACATCATTGTAGTAATGGTTTATATTTCAGTTGTAAAATAAACAAAATGAGGAGAATTTTTTTCTTTCTTAACATTTTAACAAAAAGAAACAAAATAACGAAGCTACCTAAATATGGAAATATTACATTATCAAATTACGTAAATAAATAAATATTTTTGACCAAAAAGTCTTATATAGTTATAACGTTTATTTGCCGAAAACGTTTCTATGACAAAAGAAGTATCACCTTGTAAAGAAATGCTTTGTTCTGATTCTATCGAAAAAGTCAGTATTTAATTATTCGACTAAGATTCGTTTACTTGAGGAATTTCTTTAAAAGAATTTAAAGTAAAGGTATTTGACTAAACTTTCACACGCTGTTAATGTAGTCGTTGCCTGACCTCTGACCCGTTTCAAAGTCAGAGTCACCTGATACGGTCTCCATCGCCGTTGTCCGCTGCCTACGGTACATGTCTTCTCGTCCAATGAAATTCATTCGTTTGGAGCTAATAATATCTTGTATCTTAATATAACTGCCGGCGTTTTCTGCATGCACGCTCTTTTTGCAGACGAGCAGAAACATTGTCTCTTTGCTGCAGCATTAAGGTAAGATGATTTTTTGGATCTTCTGTATGATAATAATCTTCTTTTGTATACATTTTTGTAACATTATAATCCGGCGAGACTGCCCCTAAATTTCACACAAGATTATAATTCTTAATTCACTATTAAAAATTAAAAAAGCAGACAACAGTCCCCTTATCAAAGCACATATGTTTTACATAAACATATGCTAATGAAACATTTTGTTCCTTCAAAATTGTAGACATTTACCTCGGAATTGTATTTAGGTGTCAATCAATCAATTTCATATTAAAATCTATGAAACATTAGTCAATATTGGTAAATGTAGACTTGTACAAGCTCGATATATCAGTTCTATAAAAGCATAAATTATTTATTAGAACGGAGGTTGCTCAATGTTTTGTATGCCAAGCCAGTCATTGGTAAAGGGATGACCGGCAATCACGATTTTGTCTTTTAATGATATTTCACGCTTTTTCATTCTTAAATATTTCTATACGTTTAAAAATAATCTTTTATCGAGGTTCAAGCGTCATTGAATTTTATTGACATTTTAATTCACTTTCAACAGAATCATTTCCAACTAATTTATGAAAAAAATAATGTGTCTTGTTTTATATTTTTACCAAATCATTTGAAATCACTGAAAATATAAAAAAAAAATATAAAAATATGAGTTCGTTATCAATATATTGTGTGCAGTAATAATTTCTTATCCTCGTTCCAATTTTAAATATTTCTTAAATTGAATCGAATACAAAAATAGAGAAATCGTCTATTGATCCATGTTACCGTCTCGGATGGTTGCGCGCAGGAGTTTTTAATCTAATCGATTTCTGTTTATTTAAACGTTACCCTTCTCTAGACTCCAGTAAATGAGCAGCGATAATCAATCATCTGTACAGATGCGGTAACTTACCTTAATTAGGTTTTCTTTACTTATAACGTTACCAGTTACTACCTTTACGCTCCGATTTGTATAAATAAGAATTGTGTTTTTGCTTAAGCTCGTTTACCCTTTATGAAAACATTTAATTCTCAAGCATGAAACAATAGTGTTTTTTTTCTATTTATGAATTATAATTAAACCTGTTACTGTGTGATATCTAAAATATGCATATAAAGAGATTAATCAGTTGTTAGGCAAAACAATTGTATGTCTCTGTAACGAGTTTTTAATTGAATGATATGACATAATAATCCAAACATAATTTGTGATGTTATGGTTATGTCAATATTCTGATACAATCAAAAGATAATAAGTAACAAGGAGCCATCCCAGGAATCCGTATAAGATTAAAAGCTCAATGATTGAACCTGAAGCAGAAATAGGTGATTTTTGTGTGATTTTATTTCTTACTTCAAATAAACTTGTTCCATAATGAATAATACTAATGAAACATGCAAATCCTTTTTTACATAAATCATCAACATCATAAATATAATCATGAATTTGTTTTGAAGCAACTAATATTTTAGGAAATGTTATTATGGTCCTAAAACACACATTGCTATTGATGATACACTTTATACAGTCCGGTAGCTTAAGGTAAGTTTGCACAACAATAGCTATGTGTGTTAAAGGACCATAACAATGTTTGCTTAAATATTCATTATTTATACCTACATTTTGATAGAGAAGTTTTGCTATATTTATTTACTTCGAACAGTTTTTATTTTCTGAGTTTATATCATTCGAGGAAAAATGAAATAAAAAAATACTGTCAACTTCTATCGCTAGATCTAGAATTTAAAGAATGTGCATATCATCGTTTTTCGATATTCGCTTTTCAATATCTGTATCAATGAATCTGAAGAAAAAAAACACGTGTTTCATGTATATGAGTTTGTTTGTATAAAAAAAGCATTATCTTATATTTTAAATCAGGCTAAGTCAAACATCATAAGTAAGGATCCTGAATATCAACAGTAAATACACAAGCTTAACAGTTTTAATAGGAACACTCATTTCATGATTTTATTACCGTAGCGTAAAATGTAGAATAGAAATACATGACCTTTTTTGGAGTTTTCGGAGTATTGAATTGCCTTAAACTGAGTTCGTTCGTGAGTTTTGTTGATGTTTGTGATGATAGGGCACAGGTAGTGTTACTATATTTGAAATATTATAATCCTAGCAATGCTATATTTTATATTGAATGTTGCAAAGAAATAAAGGGAAGATTAAGTGAAATAACGCTTCTTATAAGTGCTAATTCCAATGCAAAATCTACCGTTGAAACTGGTCAACTGGACGGAGAAATATGCAAAAAAATGCTTACAAAACAAATTAAAAAAAACGAATCAATTTCAATGTGATGCCTTAAATATGTTAGATATTTATTGGTTTTGGAATAATTAATCAAATTTGTTTTTTTGCAGTTCTCATTCAAATTTTTAAAATAATCCACAGAAAAAAAGAGTATCTCGTTTAAATGGCATTACGTGTATCTAACATAACGGTAACTATGTCATTTATTCCGAAGATAAGAAAACATGATAATATACGTAAAGTTACTTTGACTATGTAAGTATAAAGGCACACTTAATACTTATATCGAAATAGAGATTCTTATTCGTACGAAGTGATTCAGTACAACTAGATAATTCACCTTCATTCAAATCTGAGACACTATCAAAACATATTGCACCAGACACATGTTGCATGAAGAAAAGTCGGGCAACAAATGTGTACTTAAAATTCACGACCATGTGACCATGCAAATAAAAAGGCAGACATGTTTAGTATACAAACCGTGATTTATTATTTGGCAACGTACTGTAATCTGCGTATTTCTAACAGGATATACAATATCCATCTCCTACTTATCTAGCTGTTCCGTGGTTTTCCAAACATTTGTTTTTCTACGGAATGTAAATAGTTTTAGAGTATTTAAAACAATCGATAACATTGTTTCAAACATCTAGATTGGTTAAATATAATTAACCGAGATTTATTATTCAGCAATAAATTATACAGCAACTATACACATATGTATATATCGAAGAGTCAACTCACATATACGACATCGGGATTGAAAAGGACAAGCAAACAACAGAACGTTAACATCAAAACGAAAAGAGGAAAATCAGTATCAAAAACAATAAAAAGGGAGATAACACCAGATACTTTGGAAGAATAACAAATTCCTGTACGTCCTATTGCACCTTTTATAATATTGACTGGCAAATCCAACAAAGTGTTAATTTCAACATCAACAATAAAATAAACACGTCTGTTTAATCGTGATAAAACTGATATCAGAATTACATATTTGCAATTATTCAACTTGACGTGAAAACATTACTTTCGTACTTTCATGTCAATATGACGTGTTTATCTTGTATACATGGAGTGTAGTTATATTTTACTTGTGACAAGTAAAGTCCAATAGCAGGGAATGCTTCGTATGTTACTACTAAGGGAAGAAAAGCTAGCGTTCGAAAAAATTGAATCTTTTTTCCTATCAAGATTACATTAAGTGTGAAGTAACCACCGTGATCATAGCATAGATTATTCTCAATATACAGCTAACCAAGATAAATTGGTGTTTTATTCTACTCCAAAGAGGTTTTATCCGCTAATTGATTGTGGATGAAATTCTTTTTGTTATGTACCACTGGTTAATCACTACATATTTAGGATTTCCCCCCCAAAAAATATGAATAAAAATCACGACTCGCCTTTTATCTTTCCTTTAAGAATGGTTTTAGCTGTATCAAAGCCTTAATTTGTATTATATTTAGACTGATTATTCTACATGAGCGTTTCACAATAAAACATTATTTTTACCGTATTACTAACTCGAATTTTGATAATACTAACATTTCATCTTACTCTCATACAACTAATAAATGTGTTTCGGCAAGAGGCCTAATGCTCTTCCGTATTCAATATGAATCGAAAACACACGTAAAAAACGAGAAATGTGTTGACAATATTCAGTCTTGGCAAATAGGTGGTCTTGTTTTTAAGAAACAGTTCTTATCAAGCGTTTACGAATGCTGAATATGACATGAATGACTTCATTTAAGTAAGTTCGCAACCATTGGTAGCAGTGTTCATGTCACTTGGTCTAATGTGAACCCTGCATTTTTAGGACGACAGACGACAGACAGTACTGTATTATTTATGATAGGTTTTATGTATAGACCACAACTGAACAAGTTACATTCACTACGCTTTTTGTGTGGTTTAAAAACGAGAAAGATTAAAATTACTACCTATAAGTTTAACACACATGTTAATACACGTGGTAGTATTGCGTAACATACATTGTATGTGTTATCAGTTATGCTCATTGTTATGAAAATAGAGCAGACCAGAAAGGTTGAAGCTTTTTAATCGCCTTTCTTCATGATAAGAATCATAACTATCTTACGCTCAAAATATTATATAATGAATTTGTTTTTGAAACGAAACATCGTCATATACATATACTTATATTTTGACAGAGGTGTCTGATTCAATTGCTACGTGTATGGCATCTTAATTGAAAAGTACGAATATTCATTAAATCATGTGAGTCAACAGGATTTTGTTTTACCTCATCTGTCTTAATTTTAATAAAAAGCTAAAAAAGGGATTATATATATATCAGTAATAACTTGGCGGTTTTTCACATCAGCTTGATTGTTTTTTTCGCTTGATATAAGAGTTAGAACGTCATGATTATTTTATAAACAAAAGGACATGCATTATTTAAAATATTTCATTGGATTTTGATATAATTATAGGAATCGGTATTTTCCTAAATTCGTTACAATAACCCGGACAAGTAGCGACCACCCCTGTAAAAACGATTAAAATGCAAGTATTGTATGGCAATCGAAAATACATCCATTATGAAAGTATTTCATGTGATATGAGTTTTCAAATTGCAAAAACCTTCGTCTGTGTAATATCAATTTAAAGTAAATAACAATGATGGTAATATATCTTTTAGAATATAACATCAGAATTGACAGTATTTTTGGGGGGGAATATAACATCGGCATATACCTGTGTGGTTTAATGGCCC